AAACTATTTAATAATTTCCTTGTTCTCTAATTAGATTTTGCATTTTCTACTGAAATGTTTTCTCCAGTAATAATGCCTGTTGTGTGAAGTTTCTAGATGGAAACATGTATTGGGGAATTAATCCTTATGTGGTTAGCTTGCTTCTTTAGGATATGCTACATGAAGAAAATGATTATTCATTTTTATGTAATTTACAGATAGTGATAATTGAGCACAAATCCATCATCTGCCCAGGTTATAATGCGGTGCTGCACATTCACACCTGTATTGAAGAAGTCGAGATAACAGTGAGTCTTATTTTAAGCTGGAATGTTGATACAAAAATACTTTGAAAGTCATGTAAGCTGGTGTTTGTTTATGCTTCAAATCATAAGGGAAAACAATTTCATATTTTAGTCTGAACATTTTTCTGGCCTAAATTAAAACAAAAATCAAAGAGGATGTTGCTTTCAAGTTGTATCCTCCCAGAAGTTTATTTTATTTGTAATTTGTGGTTTTTTCACATCGCACCAAAGGAAAGGAAAATTTAAGAGAAAAATAACAGGTGTTTTTGTTTTTGGGGGTTGCTTTTTAACTATAGAAATGTACAGGGTGCTCTCATAAGCAAGTGTGTTACCAAAATAACTAACTTAATTATCTTGATTTCATTTAAATTGCACCAGGTTTCTATAGGAGAACATATTGTTGCTTTATTTTTGAGGAAAAAATAATCAAGATCGTAATTGCCCTAGAATTATGTTGGCTAACACTTATAATTACTTTCTTTTCCTTTTCTAGGCCTTAATCTGCTTGGTAGACAAAAAAACAGGAGAAAAAAGTAAGACGCGACCCCGTTTTGTGAAACAAGATCAAGTATGCATTGCTCGTTTAAGGACAGCAGGAACCATCTGCCTTGAGACATTCAAAGATTTCCCTCAGATGGGTCGCTTTACCTTAAGAGATGAGGGTAAGAGTACTTTATCTACAGTTACACTTAGTGTCTGTATAGATGCATGGATTTTCATATGCTTAGAATAAGAAATATCATGCACAGAAATCTGGCTAATTGTCCTTAAGGAAAGTTCATCTGTATATAATTTTCTACTGTTCATCCTGCTGCAACACAGCTATTTCATTGTACAGCATCCAGAGAGGGGATGACAGTGCTGTCAAAAGTATCAGGCCCTAAAGATAAGAGGGAGCAGTAGGAAACGAGACTGGTTTTGAATAACCAGCAGAACTCTTGTCTTCAGCAATGTATTTTGAATATTTACTAAAGACACTCATTTGAACATCACAAATTTAAAAGGTTGTTTTTAAGGATTTAATTAAACAATATTAGGTTCTCTTCAGGTTACAGGATAGTGGGGCTCTTGTATTGCATGCATCAGTAGTTCCACCAGGGTGAGTCCAAGGTTAGGGATATGTAAGACATGGCTTCTGTTATATTTATTTTAACAGTGACTTAAGACCCAACTACCTCTCAAATCAAGGATTTGGAGATATTTTTGTCGAGCTTAATACAGATGTCAGGTTTTGTTTCCCCAGAAAAATCTAAATTGTGATATGCAAGGATGTATTTGGGCCTTACTGCCTCCAAATGGGATTCCTCATTATGGAAGACCTTTCTGTATTAATTAAATGAGCAATATCCCAGGAGTGGGATAATAAACCAAGGCATTTGAGTTATAGCTACTAAGGTGAAATAGATTTCTCTTATGAGACCTTGATGTCATTTGCTAGTTGATAGCAGTACTTGTAGCAACCCTAAAAGTGGACTGAAAGCCTTACTTGAATTGTATCTAATCTTCAGTGGCCCCAAAGTGCAGATTCATTACTGAGTTAAGCTTCCTTTCATGTTCAGCTGTTGGAAAATAGCTGTATGTTATCTATAGCTCCAGTTAAGTGTATGCCAAATTCCTACTGTTTATTCACTTGTATAGTACAGTTCTTGATTGTCTCCTGTATTTTATGTAGCATAGTTTAAGGCATCAGATTTACACCTTGCACGCCAGTTTTATTTCAAGTTGAGCTGTTCATCTTTAGCTTTTGATTTTTGCAGTGAAAACAATCAGTGAGTTGGAGGATAGGGTTGAGTGCACACTTAACTAATTTGTGGGTGACACTTGAGTAGAATTGCTCACATTCTGGAGGGCAGGGTTAGGATTCAGAATGACCTAGATAAACTAGAGAAATGGTCAGAAATCAATTTGAATAAAATTCAGCAGGGTTGAGTGCAAAGACCTAGAATAATTTCCTGCCCAAATACAGATTGGAAGAATGATTAGCTATGTTGCAGTGCAGTGAAAAAGGACCTGGCGTTTCAGTGGACCACAGGCTAAATTTGCGTGCTCATTCCAAAAAAGCTAATAGTCAACTCTGTTGTATCAATGGGAATGTTGCTTACAAATGAAGGAACATTATCTTTCTGCTCTATTTGGCACTGATGAGGCCTCACCTAGAATACTGTCTAGTTTTGGCCCCATACTTCAAGAAAGATGTGGACATTTTGGTAAGAGTTCAGCAGAAAGCAACAAAAAAAATTAGAGGCCTGGAAAACATGACTTACAAGGAAAGGCTGAAAGAACTAGGATTATTTAGTCTGGAAAAGAAAAGCTGGGAGAGGGATTTAACAAGTCTTCTAATACCAGAAGATCAGTTACAAAGAGAGTGGAAGTAGGCCATTCTCTGTGGCTGTAGAGGACAGAACCAGGAGCTGAAACTGCAACAGAGATAACTTAAGATGGAAATTAGGAGGATCTTTTTCTCATTTTCACTATCTCTACTCACTTTCTCACTATGATGATAGCTGAGCATTGGAACAGGCTACCTAAGGAAGTTGTGGAATACCAACTCTCTTTTTTTCAAAAGCAAGTTAGACAGACACTTGACTAGGATGGCTTAGTCCAGGCATGATCCTGCCTTGAGCAAAGGGCTGGACTAGCTGATTTCATGAAGTCTCTTCCAGGCCTACTTTTTCTTGATCCTAAGAGTATCAAACTGATGGATGTGACTCCATAATACTCAGTCTTAGTGAAGAGCAGTGGAATGCTTTCCACTTAGCTTCCTATGTCAAATAACTGAGGGGATTGCCAAAAAATTGTCTCTTTAATCAGTCAGTCCACTTATTTTTACTTCAAGTCAGACGATTCAAGGCAATTTAATGTGAAGCCAGTAGTTTTGGTAAGTTTTAGTGCAGAATTTCACTTGTAGTCCATCTACTAGTTCAAATTCAACCAAGCAAGAAACAGTAGTTATCCCAAATAACACTTGCCTCACCTAACTCTTGCACCAAAGATTAGGTGAGTTAAAAACATGGCTTGAGTCCACTTGTTATGGACTACCAAGAATATGCTTCCCAAAAGAAACTTAGAAAACTGCTTCCAGAAATAGTAGGCTTTACCTCTAAGAGATGACCATTTCTGACCACTAAAATTCTTTCTGTTACCTAGTCCTGGAACATGCTTTTGCACAGCTGGCATCTTCAATTAGTACATGTTAGAGCACACTAAAACAAATTCCTCTGTTGAACCCATTTAAAGTTTAGATCAGGGCTGTCCAACTTCCAAGCATCCAGGGGCTGCACACCCTGTAGACTGCCCGTGGTTGCTGCCCCTGCTGCTGCATTTCATGCCTGTGCAAGCGCACACAGGGGCA